TATTGAATTGTTATATTAGAGTGCAATTTCTACACCAAATTTATAGGTTAAAGACTAATTCCATCCTCTCTACTCTCAAACTCATTATACTTGTCGTGTCGTATTCAAAGTCAATATCCTTTTCTGTCATTTTGATATTTGCTTTTATTATATTTGTTTATAGGTCTATGTTATTTATTCTTCGTCAGTAAGAGCCTCATTAATGTACTTTTGCTAGAAATCATGATCTTTTTCATGTTTACTATTACTAAATCAAATTTTCTCATCATTATTTTTCTTAAAATTTGCCTCATTCACATTATCACACGCTTCACTTATAGGTGTTAGCCTAATCCTTTCATCTTTGTTTATTGCCTGCACAATATACACATTTATCTCTTCCATGCATATACTCAATAATGTAGTTTTACCTATTTTAATTACTCCTTCATTGTGGAAGACTTTTATTAAACTCTCCTTCAGATAAATACCAAGATTTTGATGAAACAGTTGATCACATTTTTTATAGTTTAACTTCCTCAAAATTTTAGCAATTTCTTAAAGTGACCATGGATTTGGATCACAATCATTCATGACATATATATTTCAAACTTCTAATATTCTTCGATCAGTGCCCATTATTTTTTGTAAGATTTTCTTGCAAATGACCTCTATGATTGTGAGTCAATAAAACAATTACCTGTTATTCAACACACACACACAAAGAAACATATACTTCCAAAAATTGTGTTAAACATTTAACTCAATGTCTACATTAATGCAAGACCAAACAAGCAACTTCAAACATTTTTACTGACAAAATTAATATTTTTTATCAACTAATAATCATCAAAACAATGTGAACCATTTATACATTATATGAAGTTAAAGTAACTCGCATTAAAAAACAACAAATATTGTACAATTAGAAATTCTTACTTAGGTTTTTAAAAGATGTCATTATGGAAGCACACACAATTGCAAGATTTGACTTGCCTAGGTTGTCTTCTTTGTCTTTAAGGAATTGTATTTTTTTTTTCTTAGTGATAAAATAGCATAAGCAAGAAGTTGAGAGAAATTTTGTCACCAGATTTACTATATATTTTTAACGTTGATGGATGTTTATGCATAGGAGCCAAGTGCCATGTTGAATTTTTGTTTGCCACATAAGAGTGAGACTAATAGTATTATAACACCCCTTTTTATGTAAGGACAAATATATAAGTATTTTTTATGTAGAAACTAAATTGAAAGTTAGTGTAATGTATAGATTCCGAAATTATAAATATTTTAATTATTCATAATAAATATTCTATCACATTAAAAAATAATAACTTAAAAGATAGTATTTTAAAATTGAAAATTAATTATCAAAAATTAAAATTAAAATTGAATATTATAAACTTGAATGCTCAATACATGAAATGCCATACAACAAACTGAAGACAAAAAATTAATACTTAAAAACACATTTTTGAAAAAATACCTTATAAAATTATCGTTTAACTAAATGGTATCAAATTGGTATTTTTGGTAATTGGGTATGATCAATTAGTTTATTAATTATATTGCCTTCTAGTTCTCCATCAATTTTTGAAGGTTCACTTTTTGAGTGCAATTTGTGGACCGATGACATGAATGAGGTAAACAAATGAACCTGGCATTGACCATGAAGAAAGCTAAAACGCAAGCTGCCACGTGAAAAATCTTAGCGTTTAGAAAAATAGTATCCATTTGCTTGGTCATAAGCAGACCACAGAGATTCAATTAATATCAACCTATTCCAAACCTTTCAGTGACTAAGACTTTATTGAAGAAACAGCACCTTCTTATTTTTAAATATTAATATTTTATTAATTAGTTTCAACTATTAATATCAAATTAATCAATTTGGCACGATGCTCTTTCTCCAACGGCTAATTAATTATATTAATATAACTTAAGAGATTAAGAGTCAACCAATTCAAATTTAGATGCCTCCCTTTATGATTTTTTTATCATGAATACTAAGAGAGTTTGGTACTATTTACTGAATTAAAAAACTTACGCATTTTAATAATTTTTCATAAAATATAAGATAGACTAATTTAATTATTAAATAATTTTATATTATTTTTATAATTATATATTTATATAATTTAAATATTTTTAAATATATTATCTAAAATATAATATTTACTTATATTTAAAAATGTAATACTAGTTGAAATAAAATAATACAATGAAGTACTTATCAATTTTGATATTTTTATAAAATGTTATAAAATTGGTTTAAAATTTCTCTTTAAATAGATAAACTTTATAAAGTTTTATATAAAAATAAAATTAAAAATATTTCATGACGTTGCTTTATTATAACTATTATTTTATTTATATTTATTTTTTTAAAAATAAATACTAAATTTTAGATAATGTATATATACAGATATGAATAAAATAAAATTTAATATACACAATTACGAAAATAATATAAAATAATTTAACAAGATTAATCAATTTTATGTTTTATGAAATATTATTAAACTATTATAAAAATGTTCAAGTTTGATCATTGATAACAAATCTGACACTCTTTATATGAAGAGTTTATTAAATACCTTAATTAATAATTAATGTTCTATATTAGCTGGAATATGTCACACGTTATGAAATGCGTGTGTGTGTGGTGTGAGTCATAACGTCAATAAAGTTTTTTTTTTTTTTAAGAAACGATTTTTGAGATAACAATTAATACGAAACAGTCAATGAAAGGCACATTTTAATAACGATTCTACAAAGGAAGAACTGCAAATTAATGGTTTTACTTTCTTTTTTTTTCAACCACATTAAAAATAGCCTTTGTATATTAAAATATATAGCTTATTTTGAAGTCATTATTAAAGGTCAACCATTTTATAATGATTTTAAATTTACCTTTTAAATATTAGTTATGGTACCCACGAATTTGAAAAAATACCATAAATTTCTCATTTGAACCAAGAAATGATTAATATGTACACATTAATTGATAAGCTTGTGTTATTCTAATATTTCCAATGTTTAATAATAATATATATATATATATATATATATTATATATATATATATATATATATAGAGAGAGAGAGAGAGAGATGAGTTCATTTTTTAATTAAAAAAATTTACTCTTAATAATATTTATATAATAATTAATATTAGTTTTAGAATTTTTTATTTAAAAATTTGGGAGGCCTTAAGCAAAGGCCATGCTTTGCCCTTGAACACACTCTATTATATTATTTTTAATCCAATTTCATTATAATTTTAATTTAAAAAATATACTTTAAGTTTTCTAATTATTGTCTTAGTATGAGCCAAAACAAGTCCTACAATTATAAAATTACTACAAACAAATTACTTTATTTTGGTGTCTTGTGTGAATATTGATATAAACGAAATATTGAAGATTTAAGTACAAATGTAAAAAAGAATAAATTTTTAAATAATTATCATTAAATTATAATTTTCTTAATGCATTTTTTATTTCTCATACTTTTTATATAGTTCAAACAACATCACAATAATTTTTATTTTGAGCATATAAAAATTAACTTTATGTCTATATTCCAACCACATGTACATAATAACATGACAGACAAAATTACAAACATTCTTACCTTGCAGTCATATATATATATATATATATATATATATATATATATATATATATATATATTTTAAAAATATATCTATTCGCCCATTTTTATCATATATATATAATTAAAATATTCCCTAAGATTTAATAGGTAAATATATGTGGGTAGTTTGTTACAGTGAAATATTGTCTAATTACCTGACGACAATGATTAAAATGTCAAATTAAAATCTTTATATAAATTTTTTCATTTAATATTATTAATATATCTTATTTAAATTTTTAATAAAAAAATATTTATTTATTCTTTAATTAATATTCTTAAAATATTTATTAATAAAATTCTTTGTTTAATATATTAGAGTCTTACTAATTAGTCTCCAACTTATTAAAGAATCAACAAATAAAAAATTTGGTAAAAATTATATAACTTATAGTCTTTATTTTTAAGAAAAAATTATTCTTATTATTTTAATTATAAAAAATAAAGAATCATTTTTATATATTAATTGTTAATTTTTTTTACTCTTATTTATTATGAAACTTTTGCTAGATACTCACTTATTACTCATATAAATAGATATATCTATGCATTTAATGTATATGTTACACGTATGATTTTTTTTACTATGGGTATTTTTTAAAATATTAATAAATTTATAATATATAATTACTTTTTATTGGTGTTAAAGAATTAGTTATTTATTTCTTATAAAAAAAAAGTTATGATATATATCTCAATACTTTTTTTTATAATAAAAATATTAACTTCAATTTATATATATATATATATATATATATATATATAGTACTTTTAATTCTTTAATTAGTGACATAATTGAGAGGAGTTAGTAATATTCTCTTATATTAGTTATATATAAAAATATAAATCCCTGAATTATGACGCTGGGAACGTTTTTGTCTCTAACCCGAAGCTTTGGTTTTTCATAGTTGTTCGAGAATCCTTTGTTTTTTCTTCGTTTAACTGGAAGCTTGGATTGTACCATAAATGCATAGATACATGGACTTTGAAGAAAATCCTAACGTTAGCATCGAAGAATAAGAACAGCAACTTTTAATTTATTAGGTTTGAATATAATGGTAGTACAAGGTCAAGGTTTAACCTTGTGTGACGATTTGTTTTTTCACAAGTCTAACACAAGAGTGACCCAACTCAATAGAGAGAACAAAAAAATGTTCAACGCCGGCATGGCTGACCAGACCACACCGACCCTTCACGCTTTGCACAAACAAACAACCCAGACTTTATCCAAGTCAAATTGTTTCCTTCACATATTATAATGTATTTATCATCCCTTTATATAATAATCTTCATCATTCATATTCATTCATTCTCATACCTTCTCTTCCACCTTTCTCTCAAAATTACATTCTCTTATTTTCCATAATGGGAAATGCAGTGGTGACTCCATGCTTTCAACAAAACAAAAATTCATTATCATTGTCATCAGTGAAACTTATATTTTGGGAAGGCACAACAAGATTCCTAAAGGGTAAGCATATTGCTGGCGAAATCATGTTCGAGTTCCCAAACAAGATTGTTTGCCATGCAAACTCCTTCTTCATTGGACACCCTATTCCTACTTTAGCTTTAGAAGATGAACTTATGTTAGGTCAGAGTTATTTTGTTCTTCCCATTGATTTTTTCCCTTGCAAAACCCTCTCCGTATCTTCACTCTTGTCCTTGGGATCACACCCTAATAACAAGTCCTCTATCAAATTTGGGGAGTTCCCTTTAGAGTACTTGAAGGGTCCCAATGGAAGGGTGTTGATAAAGGTCATGCCTGAGTTCATCACAAGGCTTATTAGTGGAGATAAAAGACCATGTCCTCCCAATAGCAACAATTTCCTATGCACCACTCCTGAGTTGAAAAAACACTATCAACAGCTTGTGAAGTCTAAGGACCAGGTGTGGTCACCTAAGCTTGAAACCATTTCGGAATACAAGGTTAGGTTTTCACCATGTAGATTCATAGGTTTAGAACGGAAAGAAAAAAAGAAGGTACAGTTAGTGTCTACTAGATAGTTCATGTAATAGAGTAGAGAGATTTACACTTGAAATTTTTACAATGATAAATATACATCAATTAATTGTGGCCTCCGTATTACTATAATGATATTCTATTTTTCCTTGCTCACAAATTTGTTGAAAATAAATGATATTTCTAATTGATGTACTGAAAGGAAGCATGCAAGTTGAATTCGTTCAGTCTCCAATTTTGAATGAGAATTGATTAGTTTATAGATCGCAAGCATTAAATTATGGGTCAACTTAATTTTTGGTAAAAAGCGAAACACACACATATGGCAACAAAAGATCAATGATTATGCTCATACATTAATTGTCAATTAGTAGATAACAAACAACAATTCTAAAACCAAAAATTAAATGCAAAATTCAAATTTGATTTTCTACAAGTTTGCCGGTGTGGAAGATTTAGAATAGGCTAAATGCTCGAAATACAAGTCATTATTCGCACTATAAAGTTCAATTAGTTTATGTTTGAGATAGTATTTAGAATGTTTCATGACAAAAAAAAAATAGTAGGTAGAATGTTTAGTTGACAATTATTAACAATTTAATTTTAAATAAGTACAATGACAATGAATATACATGAAAATCTGTAAAGTTACTTTGCTTAGTTTATAAATATGTACATTGAAAATGAATAAAGGGATTGAATTTGATTATTCTGAATTTCATTTTATAAGTATAATATGTTCAATGGCTATGACATTTGCTAACAAGAAATTAAAGAAAAATTATTCTTTTATCGTCTTTTTCTTCTACTCTGTTGTTTCTTTAATGATTATTTATTCTTGTTATTACAAACTTTTTTATTTCTTTCTAATTTTCTAGGCAATATGCATTCTATTGGAACAAACCACACAGAGTGATTTTAATTGTAAAATTTTCTTAGAATTGATTTTCCTTATTTAAATGCAAAAATCACATGTAGGATTAAATAATTTTAACAATTCAAATAACAAAATATTAAAACGATCATAACAAATTGATATTTGCAAAATGTGTAAAAATGACAAAGGTATATCAAATAACACCTAAAAAGTTCTCAACATAAATATAATCCTGAATCCTTGAGATCTTCAACATATCCAACGCTTAGCACCAGCCCAATTAACACCATTATGAGTTCCTTAGAGCCATCATCAAACCTCAAACCAAACGTGCTTTTATAAATTGAAAATTGAACATTAACTTTTTAACAAAATTAATGATTTTTATGGAAAAAAACATTTATTTAAAATACTTTTATAAATTAAGAGATAAAAAATTAAAAAACCAAGTTTAAACCAAACTAAAAATATATTAAAAAAATCAACTAATTTAATCTATGTGCGTGTGTGCTGTGTCTTTACTATTAGATAAGACCTGTAATGAATTATCATAACAGGAAGAATTATAATACTTATCACTTTTAATTGATTAGTAAATGAATTTTTTTCTGTAGTTTTATTGAACATTCACTCATTAATAAATGATATTATAAAGAAAAAATGGATCATGCTCTACGATTTTGAACTAGAGTTTGGAATTACAATTAATAGAAGACTGAGTATGTAAGCTTGTAAGGCATATTGCTCTTATTCTTCTTTTTCTCATATATATATATTCTCATTTATTGAGACACTAATCATGACCATATGAAGTCAAATTTTTTAGATATAATTGTGAGTCTACTCAAAACATTTGATGATGTCTACAAACTAAGCAAATTATGGTATTAGATCGCTAAAATAGTCCATTGGTGCATGTTTCTTTTGTGCTTTCCCTAGACAATTACCGTTTTCAGTCTGCATTTGGAATGTAAGAAGTGAAAATATGCTGAAGAGAATATTATCATCCCGTTTGCCCTCATCAGTTTCAGATTTGGATGAGATTATGAAAATACTATAAAATTTGTTTATAATTTCCATACTCTTTTCACCTTATTTCAACAAGTGATTATATAACTTATAAAAATAAGCCTTTTTAAGTTTATTCTAAGAAATTTTATATAAAAAATATATCACAAGTCTTTATGTAAAAAAAAACTTATTAATAAATACTTAAGTTGTATCCAAAGTCCATTTGTTATGATATTTCATTATCTATCATGAACAAATAGTGCAAGATTCATCGTGACTAAATCTTTATAGTTTATTTGAGACATTTTAGTTTGGTAAAAAATTTCCAAGAGAAAATGCTTTCCACGAGGAAATTTGTTTTTCTTGGTCTTTTTTGGAAGTGGTCTTTTTTCTTTCTTCAACAAGGTAATTGGTTTAGTGTTGGGCTTTCTCCGCCACCATGGAGTCCAAAATACTGAAGCAATAGTGCCCCATTATCTATATGCAAAAAGAATTTAAACCCAAAAAAAGAAAAGCGTTCAAGGCCCTATAACACAAAAAGGCACAAACCATTAAGGAAAATTGTCTCTACTTTTCTTTGTTCTATTCCATGCACACCTGGCAAAGTAGCTACTTATACCAATTGATTCCTTGACCCAAAAAAAAAAAAAAAAAAGACCAATCGATTCAACTAAATTTGCCACAATTCACAAATTAATTTAAGATTAAATTAATTTTGAGTTTTTTTCCCAATTCATCTAAATTTCACTTTAAATTTATTTGAGTCACTCCAATTTATTTAAGTGTAAAGGACATATTTAAGTCGGATTTGAATCTCCATTTTATGATTAAAATGCATCATAGAACCCAAAATTCAAATGGAGCAATCTTGAATTGCTGTTTTGATAACTTTTAAATCCACGATTCTCACGTGCATATAAGATGTATTTGAAAATATTTATAAATATAATTTATAATTTTATAAACTTTGTAAGTTTATTTTTGAAAAATTAACATAAAATATTTAAATAAATTTCTTAAGATTCATTTTAATAATTCAGTAAAATAAAAATTATTATTAAACATTTGAACCAAATGGTAAAAAATTGTTTCAATTTAAATCATAAATGATTTGTGTTTTTTTTTCAATTAATGAATGACACAAAAATATTAATAATATTTGTGATATAAAAAAAGAAAAGGAAAATGGTAAAGTTTATGGCTGGGGAAAAGAGGGGGCCATAGGGTTCCCCGGAAATGAGGAATCAGAGTGAGTTAGGAGTACAGAGTAGGGTGATAGGGAAAGGTAGTGATTTGAGTGAGGGAAAAGGGACCACTTGATAGACTATTAATGAGTGAATGAATATACCCAATGCCCCCTTTTTATTTATGATTTGTGATCTGTGATTGCTACCTCACCATTCTTATCATGGCCCCAACCACATGCCTTGCCTCCCGATCCCAACCACCAACTTCATACCCTGAAATCACCCTACACTTCTCACCTCTGTTACTTCTCTTGTCACCACTCAATGCAGGAAACAACAACCTTTTCATTTATTGTTCATCACAGGTACCATTACAGTTCCATGCAATGTAATTGATGTTAAGTTTTATAATTGAAGATTAAAATAATATTTTTTAAGTAATACCTTTAATCCTTTGTCATTTGTAAATCAATTAGTTGATATCTATATCAAAGCTCTTTCTCTCTATGCTTTTTAGTTTCTTCACTCTAAGCTAGAATTCATTCTTGAGTTGCACCTTGTAAACTGGCACGTGATGAGCAAGGAGAAGGGAGCTTTGAGGCCTCTGTGAAAAACTCATCAGTGATGATTTTTTATGTTATAAAAATTCTTTGCTTTAAAAATTCTATTGATTCATATAAGCATATTTTGGAACGTGTAAGTATTAAAAATGTAAATAAATATTTATATTATTATTATTAATTAATTAATTACTATAAGTTTTTTAACAAATTATAATTTTTTAATAAAATTTTTTAACTAATTATATTAAAAATTCAAAAATAAAATTAAAGTAGATGACACAACATTTTAGTTGATTTCTTACTAATTTGAACATTAAAATAACACAATATGTTAGTGAATATATATTTTCTTAGTTAAGATATGTTTTAACGTTAAATAAAAACAATTATGTAATGCATGAAAAATTCATATATTTATTAGTAAATGTTCATCAAATTATAACTTATTGTGTTAATTCAGTTAATAAAGTCAAAGATTAGACACTCATAATTTATACTCTTTACTACTTTTAGAGTTTTCACTTCAATATATTGATAAAATTAATATTTTAGTACTTAATATAATATACTGTAAAAAATATATATACAAATTGACTTCACACTTAAATTTCTATTTTCACTCACATTTACGATAATTTTACTATTAAAATAAACTATTATATTTGTATTTATTTATTTTTTAATTATAAAGTAATAAAAATAAAGAATAAAATATTAAGATCCAGATAAATAAAATGAAAAGCTTAAAGTTTAATTCACTACAAATAATTATTTATAAAATAAGATTTCAAAAAATGTCTATGATAATTTTACTTTTTAATTGGCAATTTTCAGATCATATTTTTATTTTTTTTAAAAACTTGCCAGTAATAATTTTTTGAGATATAAAAATAACTTTTTTGTCTTTAATATTGTCAATAATGTATTTTTCTTTTAAATAATTTTTTTGTCTTAAAAAATCGTCACTTGCTTTTATAAAAAAAAAACTCATTAAAAAAATAGCCTATAACTAACATTATTTTTTAAATTGAAACAACTTTACATGATTGGTTGAACACTCACATTATTCATTGTGGCAAGAAATAATTGAAACATTGCAGCTTTTCTTGCCTTGTAATTTAACTCCAATCTACCTTACTTTTTGGTTCAATATCGTACTGTAAGCGCTTATTTTCATGCCAGTAAAGTTGTTCATGTGTTTTCACATGAGATTCACTTCTTTGTTGGTGCACTTGCCCCTAGAATTATTTAATTAAATAGAATTAAAATTAAACATCACTGATTCTACTTATTTATTATTAACATTTAAAAATTAATTATTAATTAATCAATAATTAATTGTCACGTAAAAGAACAAATAAAACAAAGCTGTACCTTGTATGAATTTATTACCTAAATAAATTATC